TCGTCTGTGACGATTGAGGAAGTGGTTGACGATCCGAAGCCTCAGCCAAGAGTACCCGATAGCGACCACAACAAGGATAAAAAGATTCGTGGTCCATACAAGGCTGGTGTTGTTTGCTATGGTTGTAGTTGGCCTGGGTATACGAAGTTTGTTTGTCCCGAATGTTCACAGAAACCGGGAAAAGGCCAAGGGAAAAAGTAGATGAGGTCACCGCTTTTCCCAAGAAAAATACAAAGACCTCAACGAACCAGACAGATTCGGGAGAGAAGAGCGCAATTATGCCGATTACCCCCGAAGGACCTTCCAGGATTGATTGTAGTCGTTGGTGGCTTCAAGTTGGAGTAGGAGGGTTTCGCATACGTGCTCTGTGTGACTCAGGAGCAGCTCGCACAGCTATTGGTCCCATTGGATTACAGATTGCATCGGCGTGTGGACAGTCGATCACGCCCTATAAAGGACCAGGCGCGAAGCTCGCTAATGGACAGCTCGTCCCAATCTATGGCTACGTTGATTTGCCATTCGATATCCTTGGTCAACGCAGATATTTGAAAGCAATGATCATGAGCGAGCTGGACTCCCAGTGTATCTTGGGAACGGACTTTATGCGTGCATTCAACGCCATTCTTTTGCCACGAGAGAACCGCCTGAAGATAGAAGGAACATCCGAAACAGTGCCTTTGGAGCTCTCCACCCTCACGAATGGAATGGCAAATGCATTGGCAGCTGTTGGCTTAGCGGATGTAACGTAGACCCAGCGAAGTCGCCTAGAAGAACTGCTAGATAGGTGGTTACCTGCTGGAGAAGCTATCCTCGGATGCACGTTCATCATCAAACACGCTATTGATGTGGGGTCGGCAAGGCCGATAAAGCAGCGCTACTATCCAGTATCGAAGAAGATAGAGGAAGAAATGCATGCTCAAGTGTTAAAAATGTTGGATGCTGGAATTATAAGACGCTCTAATAGCGAATGGTCAAGCCCTGTAGTTATGGTGCGGAAATCTGACGGTACCTACAGATTCTGCATCATCTACAGAAAGCTTAACGCCGTTTCAAAGTCGAGCGCATACCCGCTTCCATACATGGATGCGATACTTAGCAAACTGCGTAACGCTCGCTACATTTCGACCATCGATTTGAGTTCGGCCTATCATCAGATACCAATGGAAGAGGGAGATATGCACCTCACCGCCTTCACAGTGCCTGGACTAGGGCTTTTTGAATTTACACGCATGCCCTATGGCGTTGTAGGAGGGCCAGCGACGTTCCAGCAACTCTCGGATAAGATTATCGGACCAGAATTGGAACCTCACGCCTTCTCGTACTTAGACGATATTATCATCACTACGGATAGTTTTGAAGAGCATTTGCAATGGCTTGAAGTAGTGTTGAAGAGAATACGAGAGGCTGGGCTCACTATCAACAGAGAGAAGAGTAAATTCTGTTGTAGTGAGGTTAAATACTTGGGAGTTTTAGTAAATCGAGATGGTTTTCGTCCCGACCCAAGTAAAATCGCTCCAATTATAGAATATCCGGCACCCAAGAATTTGAAGCAGTTACGCCGATTTCTTGGGATGGCGTCTTGGTACCGGAAATTCTTAGATAACTTCGCGACAACCGCCGAACCTTTGACGCAGTTAACGAAGAAAGACGTCAAATATCGGTGGGACGAGGCACAACAATCCGCTTTTGGGCAAATTAAAGCGTTGATCGCATCATCCCCGGTGCTACATCGACCGTCTTTTAACGATTTGTTCGTTATCCAAACTGATGCTAGTGACACTGGAATTGGAGCGGTACTCACGCAAACGATAGACGGAGAAGAGAGAGTCTTGAGTTTCGGGAGTCGAACGCTAAGTCAAGCGGAAAGAAATTATTCTGTCACTGAGCGTGAATGCTTAGCAGTCCTGTGGGCAATTAGAAAATTTCGTGCTTATGTAGAAGGTTACCACTTTCAAGTGATCACTAACCACAGTAGTTTGAAGTGGCTATATAACATGCGAAACCCAACAGGACGCTTAGCTCGTTGGTCGCTAGAACTGCAAGCCTATGACTTTGAGGTTGTACACCGTAAGGGTTCTCTCAATCATGTGCCCGATGCCTTATCGAGAATGTTTGAAGACGAGGCGAGTGAACCTGCAGTTGCTGCGATTGAAGACGCAGCGACCGCAACCAAAGATAAGTGGTACGATAAGAAGATAGCACAAGTCTTGGAAAAGCCATCCGATTTCCCGAATTGGAAGATTGTATCGGGTAAACTATACCATTATCGCGCGGACTCGCGACTAGAGGATGTCATGGAGGACCAGGATGTTTGGAAGATGGTCTTACCATCTGATAAGGTTCCTCAAGTTTTGCGGGAATCGCACGATGAACCGACCGCTGGACATTTAGGTCGACGTAAAACGTACGAGCGAATCGCAAGATATTTCTACTGGAGAAACATGTATCATGATGTTAGCCAGTTTGTTAGAAATTGTACAGTATGTCAACAATGTAAAGTTGAACAACTACTTCCAGCTGGTTTGATGGGTAAGCGTAAAATCGCAGGACCATGGGAAATTGTGGCTGCTGATATGATGGGCCTCTTCCCTCGTTCTGTCAAGGGGTATTCGTACGTGCTTATTTTTCTAGATACATTCACTCGCTGGATAGAGATCATCCCGATTAAGAAAGCGGATGGGAAAACTATTAAAAGAGAGTTGAATGAACGAATTTTCCTACGCTTCGGAGTGCCGGAAATCTTCCTTTCCGATAATGGCACTGAGTTTCGAAATAAATTGCTAGATGAGTTTTTAAAAGAACATGGTACTGAACATCACACTATACCACCGTACCACGCTCAGGCGAATCCAGTAGAGCGGGTAAATCGCACAGTGAAGGCGATGATTACTTCGTTCATCGAGAATGAACACAAAGCTTGGGATAAGCATATACCAGAGATCGCTTTTGCGTATAATACCGCCAACCAGGAGTCCACCGGAGTAAGTCCCGCGTTCTTGAATATGGGAAGACACCCTTCACCACCGCATAACACCAAACGAGCCGAAGAATTAGCTGCTCGTGAAGAAGCACAACGGCAAGCCCTAGCAAATTGGGAAGATAGGATGTGCAGATTGCTAGACCTCCAAGCAATCACAGCGAGAAACGCACAGCGGGCCAGAGAACGACAAGCTAAATATTACAATACGAAACGCCGGCAGGTCGAATTTAAGATCAATGACATGGTCTGGAAGCGAAATCGCATATTGTCGTCAGCTATTCAAGGCATCAGTGCTAAACTGGCACCGAAGTATGCTGGTCCATTCAAGGTCACTGCCAGAATTGGATAAGACGTGTATACTCTCGTTGGCACGCAAGGTGAGACATACGAGAAGATTCACGTAGTAGACTTGAAACCGTACATAGAAGGGAAAGATCCACCGGTCAGTCAAGATGAAGAAGATTCGGAGAAGATCGAAGAAAGAAGCCACCTCATTGATCCGGATACATCATCCCCACGAAAAAGCGTGAACGCACGGAAGACGCGAGGTAAACAGCGTAAATCGCGAGTAGTGGTAAGTCGGTACGCGATCCGGGTTACTAAGGCAAAGAAAGCGTGTATTCCTCCGTCGCCCGTGTCAGACCCGGATGAAACTCCAGTTAAAGCAAAACGCGGCCGTCCGAAGGGATCAGTAAATAAACGAGAGCCAATAGTAGATGTGTCCCCTCGACGTATGCGCTCTGGTCGCTAAGTCAGACCTTGTTTTTCTTATGTGCATGCTGGTGAGAGAGAGTATTGGTGTGAGAGCTGGTACGCCCTGCGGCTACCCAGCGTCTGGAAGGGGGGAGTATGACGAAGAAATTTAAATCGTCATACTCTCACCAGCTATAATATAATATTCGATAGAAGTTTGTAATATGTATAGCTTGTTTACAGTTACGCAACTATACGAGAGAGAGAGAAGACGTAAACAAGATGAGAGAGAGGGTAAGCTGGAGAGAGAGAGCTGGGCGGGGATGAGATGGGCAGAAGAGATACGCTGGCGGCGAGCTCGGACGTTTTTGGGAAGATCGCGAAACAAGGAATACGATTACCTCGGAAAATACTGTGCGGGAGAACGAACCGGAGGTGGTTAGCGAGAGCGTGCGTCGTGCGTGTGTGACGGCCGATCCATTTTGGAAAATCTGCGAGCGTACGCGCATATTCGTAAGTGCCAGCTCTTATCATATAGCAACTCTCTCTCTCACGTTCCAACGTCCTCTCCCTTTCGAATATTGCTCGTCGAGGAGCATTCATTTGTAATTTTCTCTATTCTAATTCTTTTTATTTAATAAATAAACGTCTATTGTTTCGTTATTGAAAATACCATTTGGCTCTCCCACTTATTTGCTGACACCTTCCTCGCAAAATTAAGAACCCTGCCGCCTCCGCAAACACGAGTAAGCCCGTGTTTTAAAACTGCGCTAGCCGCTGCACAGTAGACCAGTGCAAGGTCTGCAACGTCTCGCGAACTCGCGAGAAACGAGACGAAAGTCTCGATTGTTTACGGTAGGTTTATTCGCGAATTTCGCATAAACACGAACTATTCAAAAAATTAACCGTACCGTTACAGTGTGTTAACTGAAATAAAAGATATATTATTATTTATCATTTGTTACTATATATAATATATATATATATATACATAATTATTACAATGAACTTAAAAAATAAAAAATTATAAAAGAATAATTAATATACAAATTTATAAAATATAAATATAAATACTAAGTACACGCTCAGTAAACCTCATCGTTATCGATATCGTCATCGCTATCGTCATCGTCGTGTTCGTCATCTGCGGGGAAAAATTTTATTATTTTATAGCGTGGTGCGCCATCGACTGTGTCGTCCATAAGTGAGTCTTTTTTTCCCCGCGATAATGAGATCGCACAGTACATCTGAGATGCTCCTAAATGTGACTGGTTCTGCGGGGGGATTTCGAGAAGTTGGCGACCTCGATGGAAATAATCGTCTCATATCATGTCTGACGGGTTCGGTCCAATCAACGTACCGTCTGCTCCCGCGCTATAGTAGACATTCCACCGACTGCTGCCGCCGAGTGCAACGACCAGCGGCGCAGTATGCGCAGTCCCAATCAGGCATGGTGTCGTCGTCGTAATCGTCGACCTGTAGTGAAGACGCGCAATCCCAGCCCTCGTAGTCAAGCATGTCATCGTGATCGTCGATCTGCGACGAAGAAACAAAAGAAATTTATAATAAACTACCCCCGATTAGAAAAAAGAAGCATAATTTGTATTGGAAATTCACCAAGGCGTCGCGAGATCCCCAAAGGGTGCTGGAGGCGTCAACCCGTGTGTGTCACGGGTCGTAGTAGTAGTGGTGGTCACGTGACGTAACCTCGCACATCATCTCCACATCATCATCATCAGATCTGTAAAAAAATTATATAGGAAAAAATTATTAATATATATACATATATATATATATTAAAAATTATATATATAATATATCATTTTTAATATATTGTTATATTGCATATAATATATATTAAAACAATACATATTGCAACGGTAGTCGATACGATCAATCAATACGTTCGCGATTCGGTAGCACTCGCGTTGCTAGAGCGAACGACTAACAGAGAGTGAGGGCGCGCGAGAATTGAAAGTTCAATATAGCCTCAGCTGTTCATTAGAAAATCGCCAAAATATTCTATTGTGTTTTTTCCGTTTGCCTGTTAAAAGTTTTTTTGGTTTTTATACGTGCGTGAGTGTGAGAGTAAGATGCGAATAAAGTAGCAGCGTTAGCTAGCAGCAGCTAATCACAGCCACAGCGAAACAGCAGTATTGCACAGGGCAGCACCCGTTACCGGTTACTGAGGCAACGCAGCAAGTTCTCCAGGAGCTCCAGTAATTTTGCTGATTAACGGTTACGACTGATCACCGTAACTGCACCACAGGGTAGGTGCACTAAATTAATTTTCGTTTATTTGTAAACGATCATTACCCTTTTCGCATTCGTGCCGAGCGTTATATTTTGCGGTAGAATTTCGAATTATTTCTCTCTCTCTCTCTCTCTTTCTCCCCATATAAATATAAATCATATATACGTGCGCAAGTCTTTCAGTCCGACGAAGACTAGTTTTTTGTTATAAACATCTTGATTTTATTCACCGCTTTAAGTTATTTCGTTCCCTTTAGTTTGACGGATCCGTCACCGGTTATTTCTTAAACCGATTTCATCTAGGGGATTAGTTGGAGTAAACATTAGGTCACTTACACCTAAGATAGATCGAGTGTCACAAGTCAGGTGACTTAAGGTGAGTTCAACTTTGTTGGAAAGGAGACATCGGAACGAAAGTATCAAACGTAAAGGCGAACGTATCGAACGAAAGTATCATACGTAGCACACGTATAACTATACGTGATTAACGGAGCGGCGGTTAACTCTGCATCGTGGGAGAGGGTTCTTAATTAAACCCAAATTGCATCAGTTAATCCACCCTGTTACAATATTAAAAATTAATATACATATATATGTATATATATAACTTACACATGCACCGTCGATGATGATCGGGAGCACGGAGACGCCGGCAATGGTTGGAGTGGCAACCGATGCCTACTGTAATAGTATTAATAAATTAATTAATTAATTAAATTCTCTATATTAAAAAAAATAAGAATGCACGAAGTAACCGTTTATTATGCTGAAAACGACAAAACCGAGGTGTCAAGTAGCGTGAAATGAATGCGATAGAGAACAGAACAAAATAAGAATAGTACATGAGAGAAAAATTAAATTTGAATTAGAGTATATATACTTTCTCTCATACACACACACACGCACGCGCGCAGTTACTTCTTCATGCATTTTCATTCTTTTTTAATATAAAGAACAGAGTTTTTTTTAAATATTGCAACTGTAGTCGATTCGATTAATCGATCCGTTCGCGATTCGGTACACTCGCGATGCTCGAACGAACGACTAAGAGAGAGAGAGGGCCCGCGAGGGTTGGAAAATAGTCAGTTAAGCCTCAACTGCTTTTGAGAGAGTGCCGCCGAATTTAGTTTGCATAGTGTTTTGCCGTTTTTGTTACAAAGTTTTTTGTATTTTTGGATACGTGTGTGAGCATTAGTAAGGAAGCCTAGCAGCAGCAGCAACATTACAGCAGCAGCAAGCAAAGCAGCAGATTTTCTGTGAGGCAGCGCAGCTGATCAATCAGGAGGAAATCGTTGGCAGAAAATAGTTCTCTTTAACGATTACGGCTGATCACCGTAATTGCACCTGCACCTTCCTTATATTGCGCAATAAAATACTAACGAGAGTATTTTATCTATCGCGAGCTATATTTTTTTGTTATCCTAGGTCAAGCAGTAGAGCGTTGACGTGCGGATGCTCGGAGCGCAGGTTCAATTCTCCGTAATAACAAAATTTTTTTTAAATTTGTTTTCAATTATTTAATCGAATCACATTAATAGGTTTTATGTAAATTATGAACATTTATATTAAAAAATGTTGACATTTTTTCTGTAATGTATGCAAGGGTTGTAATTTTTCAATGGAATGTACGGAATGTATGGAATGTATAGCATGTATGGAATGTATAATGGAATGTATAGCATGTATGGAATGTATAACATGTATGGAATTTTTTTAATGGAGGGGAAAATCTCAGCCGTCCACTATAATAGTAATCTGCTTCTCTTAGCAATCACATTCGCATCAAGCGTATACTACGTAGAGTGTACAGTATGAAAGAAAGAAAAAGGTAATACGATGATTCTACAATGAGCGCCAATAAGATTAGCTAGGTAGGTAGCTAGGTAGGTAGCTATTAGGTAGCTAGGTATAGGTAATTATTTTTTGATTGTTTATAGAGAATATTTTATATTTTATATTTTTTTTTTCAATATATTTTTGTAATTTTTTATTTGTGCAGATTTGAACAAGCGAGGTTGAATAGTTTCACGTCTCAATGGACATGAGCACACGTACAACCAGCTGATCTTCATTCGGCCGACTTTTATTATACGGGGCAGATCGATCGAGTGCACTCTTTTGAATGTGGTCTGGAAGTATGTCGTTGGAATGAAAAGGACTATCCAGCGACGAAACATCAGCGCTGGGCTGGCCGCTGCCTTTACATTCGCAACAGAAGTTGCGGCAATGTGCTGATCGGATCGAGCCCCGTACCAGTACGTCCTCGAAGAAGTAGAGATGATTGTGGACGATAATAAGCTCAAGTATCGGTCAGCAACAACGTCGGAAGAGTCAGCGCGCGTAATGTCTAGCGTATCTACTGCTAACCTGCATGCATGTACAGACGAACCTGCATTTTCATCGATGAAGAGTCTTATCACAAATCTTTTTTCTAACTTACATTTGATGGAGAAATGTGCATCGAATAGCGAATCGAATGCAGCCATCAGGTTGGTATCTGTTTATATAGAACTTTTACGCGATCGTAAGAAGAGTATTGACCAACAGAATGAAAAAATGAATAAAATTAGCGAAAGGGTTGAACAGTCGCTGCAAGATATAGTCAATATTTTGCGTCAACTTGAAATTACTAGATGTAACATATGTTTGGATGCTAGGATTACTGTGCTCTTTTTACTTTGTGGATATATCGCTGTATACATGGAATATGCATCAAGAATTCATGATTGTCCAATATGTCGTTAAAGTATTGTCATGAGTTTTCTCCTGTTACCGGAGAATACGACGAATTCTTTAAAGATCGGGGCCCGGGAGGCCAAAGCTGCTTCGTGGGGGGGACGCGAAAGGCAACGTCTCAACGCGCGCAAAAAGTAATAGGCAGGAATGGTCAACACAACAGTCACTCACAAATTCGTTTAATACATGTATTTATCTACTTAGTCTAACAATTATAACCGCTAATTCAACGTGACAACAATCGCGCTCTCGTACTTCAGCAGCCGCGAGTTCCTGTGGAAAATCGCATGGACCCGGCTGGCACGACGGTTACGAGCTATCCTCCACGTTTCTCCATAGGCCCTCGAGCGAAATAACCGCTGAGACTCCCTATCTTTCGTGGGTTGCCGGCGACGCGATCTCACGAGAGAGAGAGAGAGAGAGAGAGAGAGAAAAACTTGACCAACCTAAAGGGAAACTGCTCGATGTCCCCGAGTTGCCCGCGTTTTAAAGCGAGATTGAACGGCAGACCTCGCAAGTGCCAACTGCTCCGCCTCAACGGGGTGACGCGGTGAACACCCAGAAGGGTGGCCAAAAGGCGGCTCTGGCTAAACTTGAACGCGATGAACCCTGTTTTGACCCAACGACAGAGTTTTGAAAGATCTGACTTTGGGACGGAACGGGGTAAAAACAACCTTTCGAATGACGGATACCCACCAGCGTGAGCGGGTTGGACCGAAACGCAATGGGGAGACATGCCCCGGCATGTCGAAGCGATGGACCTGTGAGTCGTGGGAGAAATCCCTTAATACAGGAACGCAGGGTGGGATGTATTTTGAACGCGAGCCCAGGAGGGAGGCTTAGTTGGTTGATCGTCTAAGGAATCTTCCTCTGGCTGTCCTGGCTGAGTCTCTCCTCTGACATCCCAATTTGGGTTGCCCTCTGCGGGGTAGTGGTACCAGGTCAAGCAAATCTCGTAAGATTTGTATGCTGTGTGCTTCCGACGCAGTAGACGTTGGGGCAACTAGAGTCCCGTCGCGCCCAAACCGAGGGTCAAGCCTTTAGTTCCGCTCTCCTTGAGCGTCGAACCGTGAAAAGATCGGTACTCCTTCCGAGGAGGTCGCCGCCTTAGATTAAAAAGGTTCCGACTCGCTGAGTCGCGCCAGGGATGTCGTAGCAAACTTGACTTCCGGATCTCCAAAAATGTTTGAAAGCGAAGGAGTGAAAGACAGTGGGCTATGCCAACCTACTGGCGCCCAGAGAGAAGGGTGGTAATGTCTTGAAGACGCTATACCCCCTCAAATCGGATAAGCTTGAAACAACGCAAACACTAGCTGTCCCCGAGTTGCACGGATGCTAATAGCTCGTTCAAGGATCTTCCAAGCTTCTCTCTTGAAAACAACAGGTCTCGTGGCAAACACCTGCACTACCTTGCACACGCGTCGCAGAACAAATCTCGCTCGCTTTCACAAAAGCCAAAAAAACAAGTAACAAGACGGCGCGGACAAAGCGTGTCGCACTCAATCTTTGTCGCAGTCTACTGCCGGGCACCGAGCGCCTACCACCAAAAACCCTTAAGTAGCGGGCAAACAGCAACAACTCACGCGTACCAGGCGTCCAAATCGTACTCTTGGTCCCCTCTCTCTCTCTCTCTTTCTCGCTATGTTACCGGGAAGGGAGAGACGTTGACGGAGCCAACGTCGCGAGCCGTGGCTCTCATCACAGTATTACCAAACGTGTTCATGCTCATTTTATATAAATTTGTTCTTTTTT